CCGAGTCGGGGGCCGCGAGGACCTTGGACCGGACGAGCGAGCGGAGTCGCGTTTCCGCTCGGCCCGGTGAGCGCCGCCTCGGATTGGCGCGCCGCGAGGGACCCCGTCTAGCCCATCGCCCCGATTGGCCGGACCGTCGCTATTTACGGCGCGAGCCCGAGCCCGTGTCGGGACTCGGCGACCCGGAACGACGATGCCGGGCAACGCGTAAAGGTGACCCTTCCGGAGCTCCGGCCTCGATGGGATCGTACTCCCGGCGACTGCGAACGGAGGGAAGCGAGACGCGATCCCGGTCTCGGATCTTTCGAAACGTATCAGGGAAGTTCGAGTGCAACGGACTTCGACCCAGTGATAGATAAACGACTCGAGTCGACCTAGAAGACCGGAATCGTCGGGCCGAAGAGAAGACCGAGGAAACATCGAAGCGATCCAGAGGCGGAGGACCGCCAGGGGTTTCTATTAAATGCCGTCCGCGCCATCGCGGCCCGCCCAGGTGACGAATAACGCCGTTGCGTGAGGCACGAGTTATTTCGCCGGGCGATTATTGCGTCACTTCGGAGCCCGACTGCGACCGATGATTGCACGAGTAAGTGCACCCCCCGCTTTTATGCAGCGCGTCGCGAGGCGAGCCCGAACCGCCGGGGAAATAAGATAGGGATAATGCGTGCGGCCGAGCCGAGAGAGGGCACCGGTGATTTATCCAGGCCGGGCCTATTAAAAAACATCCACTTTCCGGGGGGGATGCAGCGGAAGAGAGAAAGAGAGAGAACCCCCGAGAAGCTCCGATCTGATTTTGTTTTCCATTTCGGGCTCCCCGCGCGGAGGGGGATAAATTAGGAAATTTATGGCTAGACGGAGAGTTGAATTTATTTCGCGTGGGGCGCCGGAGATGCCTCCGAGAGATTTCGTCCCCTCCCCCCGGCGGCGTCGAATGGCGTCGCTCCGGTCGGCGAATTTCACTTCCCCCTCCTTCCCCTTTTTTCCGACGGGCTCGTTCTTTATTATTGCCGCGTTATTCGAAATAGGAGGCCAGGGATTCGGCTTCGGGTTTTTTAACGAGGGGAAACGCCGACCGGGGTCGATTAGCGACCGGCGGGTCTCTTTCCCTCCACCCCCTTCTTCTTTCTCCCTCTTTCTCTCTTTCGCGGCGACCGACGAGAGGAGCCCCTTTCACCGGGCTGAAAGGGTTTCGCGGAGTCGCCAGTTATTCGGATTAACGTTTTAGTCTCTGTCGAGTCTCTCGGAAAGGGAGGAAGGGGGAGTGGGGGGGTCTTGCGATTTCGACGGCGGAGTCGAACACCACCCTTTTTTCCCTCAGGTACCCCTTAGGTGGAGTACCTTTGCATCGTGGAGATGTATCGTCATTTGGAGCCCGCCTCCTTTGGCGTCGAATTCGAGACTCCGGTCCACGATTTGCGAACGAACGAAGAGTCGGTTCGTCTCTCGGCCCGACACCGGGAGGCGAGTTTCGCTATTTCCGGGGATAATTAGACGTTAACGAGGGCGGGGGTGGTCGCGGTGCCTCGCGCCCGGTCCAGCGATTCTGGCTCCCCGAGCAATTGCGCGCCCCTGCGCGTGCACGAGCTTGGAACGCAACTCCCTCCAACCCCCCCGGAAGTACGCGACTCGATATCCAATCAGTCGGAGGTGTTTCAAAAATACATACCCCGTGACGGCCGCTGAAATTCATTTCGCTCGAAAATACGTTCGACCTCCTCTCTCGTCCTGGAGAGGGGAAAAAAAAAATATACGCGTATCCGGAGAATTGAGAATACGAGGTGGGTTTGAAGAATAAGGTAAAAAGACGTACCGTACATGCCGAAGACCGCGGCGAAATTTTTACCCACGAGTGGAGGGAAGAGGAAGGAAATGAATAAAATAGGGTACACGGACCCTCCGAATTGAGGATACGCGAAGTACCTATGGGCGCGTTTAAAGGGCACCCCCGGGTGCGCGAGCCAAGGGTTTGGGGGAGTCGCCCCCTTGTTCTGGGGGGGAACCTTCCGGCCGCTCTCTTTCCGCCGTTCGCCTCCACCTTGGCTCGAATCGATTTACCTTTCGGTACGCGTCGCGGTAGTTTGGATATTCGCCAATCGTCGGGCCTCCCCCCATCCCACCCCCTTCTTCTTTTTTCTCCCCAAATGAGCGATAGCCCCCGGGGACTAGAGGGGAGGTATTTGTTGCGGGAGAATTTATTCGCTTCCGGCGAATTTACCTATCCCCTTCGGTTGGGGGGAAGGGGAACAGGTAAAGGGGGTCTACTCGGCGGTTTCGAGCTCGTCGACGCGATCGCGACAGTCGGGAGAAACGCACGAAAAGTGAGAAATCGAGGGAAAGAGCGAGAGAGGAATTCATTTATTCGTCCCCCTCCCGGTTTATTTTTCTTTTCCCCCCAACCTTATTCCTCTATTTCTCGTTCTCTGTCTTCCTTTTCCTCCGCGAGTTCTGCGTCGAACGAGACGTCGAGAAGCCGTCGTCGTGGAAAGCCCTGTGTTTGCTTTGCCGCTTCGGCGATGCCACCTTTCTCTGTCTCTCTCTTTGCCGTTCTTTGAGTTCGACTCGCGCTCTGTCTAGGGCGGGATGCATCCCTTGGAGGGGGTGCCGGGTAGGGGACGCGTATCGGGAAGAAAGAGAGGAAGAAAAACGCGGGAAAAAGTGCAGAGAGGGGTGACAGCTCTCGAAAGAACGCGGCGTTTCTCGTTCCGGGAACACGCGTCCGAAGTTCCCCCCTAGGAGAGGGTGGAGGAGCAGAATTGCCCGCGGAAACCGGCCAGCGACGATTTGTCCCCGGGAATAGCGCGCGTGATCGCCTTAACAATGCTCCGGGCTCTCGTTATGATTAATGGGCCGGATGAGACGCGGCCGTGAAAGAGAAAAAAGAGGGAGGAATGAAAAGTGAAAAATAAAAGGAGCGAACCCGCGGTGTAAGGAGAAAGAGAGGGGGTGTGATAGAGACGGGGGAGGAGGAAACGGGAAAGGCGAATCGCGGATCGACTTTTTGCGACGCATGTTGAATCTATTTCCCGTTCTTCCTTATTCCTCTTTCGAAACGAGGACACTTAAGAGGGGGGAAGGGAGGAACATTTTTCGGGGGTGTCGGACGGAAACCGCGAGCGCGAAATGAGGAAACGCGGCGGTTTCGTGCTTTTCAAGCCTCGCCAAGAGTGACAATGTGTAGTCCCCCCGTAGGGGGTGTTTCAGAGGGAAAGGGGAGCGGGAACACGCTTCGGTCATACACGCGGCATGAAGATAGACGACGAAACCCTCCTCCTCCCTCATTCTCTCTTTTTCTCCTGCCGCGCGGTCGCGTGCGTTTTCAGAAAGTCTTTTATCTCGGGGCTCACGAGAGGAGGGAGAAGGGAACGCACCGGGGATGAAATTCGTGTTTTCACAAGTGCACTCTCTCTTTCCGCTTTTCTCTTTCTCTCCCTCGGTCCCTCGACCCGGTTTCTCCTCGGCTCTCTTGCTCCCTCCCCCTCCCTCATGGCTTCGCGGGGTTCGACATGGGTGCCCTTCTTTTTCCCCTTTCCGTCTCTCTCCTTCTCTTTCTCGCGGACGGCACAGGTGCTCTCTCGGGTTGGCTCCGTTTTATTTAATTTTATTATCCTCTTTTATTACATTTCATCCCAATTTATCCTATTTGTCCCGCGATCGGGGAGGTGTCGATTTCTTTCTTCTTCCTTTTTTGTCCTCTTCGAGGGATCCCCGATAAATTCGCGGCAACCAATGAGGGGTAGGGAAAAAAACCGACCCCTTTGGCTAGGACGGGACCTACATAGCGCGATCGTCGAGTTTTTCGGTTTTCGCCACCCTCCGAGGTCGGGGGGTTATTCCGCCCCCTTGGGTTCTCACTTTTTTTTTTTCTCTGCGGAGAAGTCCGAATAAATCCGGGGAAAGCAATTTCGCGGGAGCGGGAAAAAAAGGCTCCGGAGATAAGGCGCGAGGAAAGGACACGCGCGGGAGTAAGTGTAAGGGATATCGGCGTCGGCGTCGAGACGTCTCGTGGGCGGCGGCGAGTCGGGGTAAGCGTCGCCTTTTCCCGCAGATGGGGTTGCTTTTTCTCTCTCTCTCTCCCACCCCGTCCACTCGCGTTCCTCTTTCTCCACGGTGAGCTGCGCCACGCGTGATTTGAATAAATGGGCGCCTCCCCCTGATTGCGTCGTTTCGCCCCCCTCTCGGGTGGCTCCGTCTCTCTTTCCCTCTCTCGACTCGATCGCCGCGACGTCTTCTCTGATAACGCGGCTCTTCTTCTTTCCCGACATCCTCTTTCCGCACTTAACGTCCACCCCCGACTGCGCTTGGAAATCCTTGGCGGGGATTTTTCGTGTTTTTTTTTTAATGCATTTCTAATTTTTTTCTTTTTCTTAGTTAATATTTATACGCAGTTAGAGGAGCGACCTGCGAATAGCGCTACCGTAATACCTTTCGATACTTCTGTGCATTCCGATAAGCGAACCGCGAATCGTACCACCGTAATTGGCCGGTGGATTCGCGCCCGCGATTGGTTCCCGCGATCTCGATTCCAGGCACGTTCTCTCAGGGCTTTCCGAAAAATGGGGCGCCGTGTCTCGATTCCCCCGTTTACGAGATATCGAGCCCTGTTTTCCAGTCGATCCCGGTGACGTACGAGGGACGGCGCAAGACCCTCTTTACTTACGACGGGGTGGCCCTCCTCTCTATGTCCATCGATAATGGACGCTCCCTCGACGCCTCGACGCACTCGGCTCATGATCGAGTTTTCCCGGAGGCTCGCGTCGATGCGTCAATCAGTGTCGGTGAAATTCGAGAATGCCCCATTATGGTTGCCCCTGACTTTGCCGGACCCGCGGGGGTGGCTATTAACCGTCGAGACTCGTTTCGGGGAACTTACCTCGCGACCCCCGCAAGGACACGGGAAAAGTACCAAATGCGTATCTACCGTTGCCCCGAATCGTGCCCTGTAGAAGTTTTTCCTGTTATTTATGTAAGTAATTAACACCTGCACCCTTCTGTTGTTGCAGCCCAGCAGAGGAAACTGTGCCACGTATTATGTGACGTGAAGCAGGTGACATCCAGGAGAAGGTCCAAGATGTTGGTCGCCGGTTCGGTGCAGTGGCTGTTAGGAGTTGCGGTGTTGGTGGCGGTGACTAACGGTGAGTAGAACCGATTTTTTTCTCTTCTTCTTTTTTTTTGTGTTAGCGGGGCAGAACAAAGTCCGGATAAAAATTCCCGGCCGAAGGGGGTGTGGGTTAAATTACTATCCCTTTGATCCTGGGTGTGGGAGGGGAGGTGACGGCATCGCGGGGCTTTTTTCCGCGTGTTTTTCGCGAGTCGAGAGAACGGCGAGATAGAGGCAAAGCGATATATCGGATCAAGAGAGGGAGGGGGGAAGACAACCCCTCGGGGGCAATTGAATTCCACCTCGGCGAAGTCAACCCTGTGCAATCGAGATCGCGCCAATTAAGTCGTCCGCGGCGACAGCTGTGTCCCTCTCTCTCTGTTCCTCTCTCCTCTCTTTACCTCTCTTCGTCCTTCTTCGAGTCGATTCTCGCGTTTCTATTTCGACTCCGTGACCGGCCTCAGCGGCTCGGGGGCGAGCCATGCAAAACTCGGCGAAATTCCGGGCTTTCTTTTTTTTTCTCTCTCTCTAATTTAATTTCCATTATTAAGTCTTGGGATAATTATTTCGGCTACCTAGCCGCAACGTATTTCTACTGCAACCTAGCCGGTGCCCATACGGAGCCAACTCTCGATTTTATCGATGGATCCCCATTCTCGAATCCCTTCTCCAGGTCCACCCGCGTCCGATTCTCGCTTTTCGATCTCGATTCCGAATGGCTCGAGGGAGTACTGGCACACGAAAATTCCGGGGGAAATTCCTGGCTCGGGGTAAAATAAAGGAAAAGGATGGAAAAAGGGGGGCAAGGAAGCGGACGCACCGTTCAAATTGCCGCCGTTTGATCGGCCATCGGCGCCGGCCGAGCGAGAAATCGAGCCGCGCACGATCCGACCGATCTCGCTTTGTCGCCGCGATACTCTGATTTTTTTTTTTCCGTCCATTCCTTCCCCCCGTTTTTTCCGTTTAATCTTTACTACGTCTCTCTCTCTATCTCTTTCTTTCCGCGCTGCACCGGCGAGTTGCATCGAAGGGACGCCGGGGTGCATACGCAGCCACGAGAGTTTCCGGGGTATCCGCGTTTCGTTAACACGCTGCCGGAATAGTGTCACGCGCAGATGTTATCGTCCCCGAGTATCAACATGTCAGTCGGTAATTGCATCACGGGGGATATATCCCCCCCGCCCCAATTCCCCCGGTGCGCCCCTCGCCGCGATGCAACTCCGTCACCTGCGAACGAATCGCCGTATCCCCTCCCAGGGGGGTGGGTGGGAGGGCAGAGAGAAATTGATAAAACGCAGACGGGGAGATTTAAATTTCAAATTTGCCCACTTTCGAAAGCGCCCCCCCCCTGCCTCTTTCCCCCTTAAGCGGGGGATTCGATTTTGCCTTCGATCTTTGCCGTGTCCCCCCGGCTTCCTTATCGAGCGGAATAACCGAGATGGGATAGTTTCTTCTTTTTATTTTTTCATCCACGTTTTCTCTTCTCTCTTTTTTTTTTATTTCCTCTTCTCCTGGTTTTCTTTCTTTGGGATAGGGACGGGCTTCGAAATATAATGGAATTTGACCGGGCGGAGAGCGTTCCGGGATTTGCCGAGGGTATTCTACGGGGAGGGGCAATGAGGGGGGAATTTCGGTCTGGAAATTATTTCGATTAATCGAACGGCCTCCGGTATGCAGACGACGTGTAATACGCGCCGGGGATTACGGATCGATCGATCCGCGCGACCGGGCATTTGCGGCGACTCTCGGGTGGATTCGCCGTGTTTTATCTTTCCTCTCTTCTTTTTTTATTTTTTTTTAGCGCACTATTTTTTTTTCCCCTCCTGTTATTTCGCGAAAGGGGCTCGGCCAATGTCGACATCGAGAGGGCCGCCACTCGCGCCCGAAACAGTCGATTGTCGCCTAAATGCGCCCTCCTCCTCTTTCTCTCTCCCTCGTGACGCGACGCGGAACGGCGGGATTACGCGGAGGACGAGGACCGCGCGCGCGCGAAAAACTAATTACTGTAAATAATCCTCTTCAATTTGCAAATAAGCTGGCCCGGCGGTCCTTTGTTTGCCGGAGAGGGCGCTTCGAAAATGGCACCGCTTGTTCGCTCTCTCCCTTGCTCTTTCGGGTCTCTCTCTCTCTATTTTCTTTTCGCTATTTTTCGACCGGCGTACCGTCCTGTGGTCAGCTTTTGCCGCCGCGTGGGGAATTCTCCGCAAGGGAGAAATTCTCTTCTCGTAGAGGGACAAGAGATATCACAGCGAGACCGGAAAACGATGGGAGGAAACATTGGCTCGGTCTTTTCTGATAAGGATGTGATAAAAATCGAGAAATCGCGAGTCACTGCGATCGCGTTCCGCCTTCGATCGTCGCGGCGCGTCTTTGTTCCCGGCGTCATTTATCCCGGCGTCGTCGCGACTCTTCTCTAGCGCGCGGAATCGACTTCCGCGCCCGCGACCGAGCGGATGAAACGCCGCGGACGCGCGAACTGGGTTGGCCGGAGATATATATCTTTATCTCTGTCGCGCGCGATTGCATTGTTACCGCGACGCGCATTGTTTGAACGGTGACGCGAGGCCCCGGGCGACCAATCAGTGTTCGCGCTGCCCGTGCCTTATCAAAGATTCCTGCCAGCTACGCCGCCGCCGCCGCCGACGCCTCCGACGCCGCCGTCGTCCCTCTGGGGCGGAGGAGGAACCGGGCGGGAAATCGCGCCGGAGGCGCCCGGGCGGAAACCGCGCCACCCTCGCGATTGGGGATCGACCCTAATTGTTGGACGCCCCCCCGAGGACTCTTTACAAATTTTGGAATTCCCGGTAAAACGTTCGCTTTTTTTCTTTCTATCTTTCACCGGGGGGAAAACGGAACTAGGGTTCCTGGTTTGGAAACTCGTTGTAACACTCGTAGAAAATTTAATTTCAATGTTCTGTCCTGTTTTTTATTTTTTTCGTCTACATGCGAAAGGAAGAAATTTGGTACATTTGAGGAAATCGTTTCATTGACTGCAGTTGGTTCGTCCGATAGAGCGTTCGTTTCCCTACGAGGGCCGCGGCTGGTCGATCAGCTGATTTTGACGTTTATACCGGACCACGTGGTCGCCGCCGTATGACGCGCATGTGCGCGCCTCTTCCCGCGGTCGCTCACGCGCCTAACCGCGATTGTCTTCGGGATGGCGTCTAATCTACGGCGAAATTACGATCGCCATCAACGACGCCGTTTGCGGCGACTGTTGTGCACGGATCGCGTCAGCGTATCCTCGACAATTGAACCCCCCTCCCCCGCGATTAGGGTCAGACCCCGTCGACCAGGACCGGCGCGTTTACGCCCGTTTACGAGCGATTGTTCGCCCCGGTCGTCCTGCCGGGTCTTCCCGGTCTCCCGGATATAATTATGACCCGATTAAGCCCGGATTAAGGACAACGTTGAGCCGCAACTTCGGCCGGGTTTTGCGCGCACCGGCAAGAAGGGGACCCCGTACAATGGGCGCGCTTATTTGTACTACGAGGCAAAAGGACGACTCGGAAGCACCCGATTATTAAGGGGCAAGTGCCCGATAACCCGTCGTGATATTGAGCCGGAAGGGGGTTTAGCGGTGAAATTAAAAATCCCGGTTTACGTCGTTCGCGTCGTGCTTCGATCGACTCCTTCTCGGTACGGACATTTCGCGAAAGTCAATGCGGAGGAAACGGGGCGGCGGGAACGAGCCTTCACCTTTCCAGAGCTCGGACGTGCTTAAAACGACCGTAAACGGGAGTAAATAACGCCGCGGTAATTATTTGGGAGGCGCTCCTTCTGTTCCTCCCCCGGTTTCCTGGAAGAAGCCGCCGTGTCCTTTTTGCTCTCCGTCGGCGGCCGGACGCGTATGGCTCCTGCAGTGGAAATTACTTGGCACTCTTCTCGCAACTTGCAATTCCGCCGGCAGAAAAAAGAGAGAAAACTGAGGGAAAAACGGCCTTCGGCGCACTCCGGAACCAGTCTGTGGTCAAGTAGAGAAGAGTCACCCCTCCATTGTCGTATTGTCACCGGGCGAGCTTCGCCAGCCACTTCTGCCGAACGGAAGTGGTATCGATCCCGAAAGTATGCCCTTCGTGTGATTTCTCGGCCGTAGCGCGGAACTGTTACGGGGGACGTTTGCCGAGGGGCGGAAAGCACGCTTGTTAGGTAAATCGAGGGACGCGGAAAAATTGCGGAGGCGGCCGATTCCTCCCCATATTTACCTCTCTCTCTTCCGCTTCTTTTTTCCCCCGCGCGATCCCTATCGTCCGGATCACCATTTTCCCCCGCGGTATCGGTGACCCGCGGAAGGGCCGCATACGCACCTGGACATACGGCTTCGAGTGTTCAGAATGCGAAAGGGAAAGGCTTACAGGCCCACTTTTACTGGCGGTGTACTTTTCCCGTTTCCCTCCCCCCGCAGACTCTTCGCCGAAGTACTATCTTTACGACGACCATTCACGCACTCACGGTGGGGCAGGAGGGAGAGGGAGAGCGATCGTTCGCGCTTTGTCTACAGCGAGGGGAACCGCATTTTCCTCGATAAACGGCCTGAAATCGCCGATCCATCTTCCGGTCGCGGAAACTCCTCGTTATTCCGCCCCGTCCCCCTTTTTACGCGCTCCGAGTTTACGCCCCGTCCCCTCAGGACGGTAGGGCGAGTGATAACGGCCGGCTGATAAGGGATGGTCGACGAGAATTAATTTCTTATTGCGGCCTGCTCCCAAAGGAGGGAGAACGTCGCCGGGACGGTTTCGGCTCGGTGTCCCTCTTTTCTGCGAGGAATAGTACATTTATGCGCCCGGAAAGTGATTACTTTCCTTCCTTGGGAGGTAAATCGTGACGTAGCTGACGTTATGGATAACTTTCGTCACGCCGAAAGTCGGACTCTCGATTAAGGGAGGATGAAAAAAATCGTCTCGTCCCGCTGTTTCCCGAAGTGATCGGGGGTGGAGGCGCCCTGGCAGAGAGTCGGATGGAAATTAAGTAAATTTATTGTCGCGACCGCAATAAAGTTGCGTCGTTAGTCCGGGCTCGTTTCGTGAGAAGAAT